AATTCTGCCCGAAATCGAATGATATGGTGAACGGTGTTTGTTGAGGCCGGCACTCGAAATGAGTTCGGTACAAATAAATGATTTGATACAGTTACAGAGGAGAGATATGATTGTCGAAATCAGTTGTTCGGAGCAGGTGGAGGGCCGATAACTCTTTATTGGTTCAAAAGATTGATTTAAATTCCGGTCGGATGCCAGCAGAACGAATGGAGAAACGGGTAACCTAGGGGATTTTGCTCCGACAATGTTCCAATAGTCCAATAGTCCAATAATTAGAACGTAACTACCCTAAGGGCGAGTAGAAACTCGTTGAAATCAATTGAGCCGGAGTTGTTAGTGTCTAATTGCTTGAAAGTTTTCTCCACTTCCTCTTCGTCCATTGTAACGCCAAAATCTCGAAGTCCCTTTCGAAATTCCTCCAAATCCAGTGTTTTGTTTTCATTGTCGTCCATGATACGGAATGATCTTAAATGTACGAATTTAAAAATTCAAGAGAACTCGAATCTATTAGATCAAATAATCGCTTACTCGATCAAATATACCAAAATGTTTTAGTGGAATATCGAAGCGTTTTTGAATTCTGTCTGAATTACAAGAAAAGAAAACAATTAGTGGGATTATCGAACAATATTGGAAACAAATGAGTTTAATGGTGTTCGATAGGTACCTGCCCAGCGATTTGATGCCAGCATTTCCACGAACGAGACATTGCAAGCGTAGACGTTCAATGGGGTCCTTGGCCGTTTGTAGATCCCGTTGTGCCTTCTGCTTTAGCTCTTCCTCACTCATCACGTCCTCACGTACCTTTACAATTGAATGTGCTGAAAATTTATCGATATAAAAGGAACGTTCCGCAGACATTACTGAATTCGCTGGAAGCTTGTGACGTTATCGAAGTCATTTGTGAATTCAACAAAACCTCACTACAATTCTTTCATTTCTACCAACCGAATGCCTCATTCCGAAGCCAATTCCTATTACATTGATAGCAGTCATAAGCCTGATTCTTCGTTGAATGTCTGGGATTCTACTCCGATTAATTCCACAAATATCTAGCTTACGCTCGACAAATCTCTCGTGAGGAAAAAGCTTATAACCTCCTTTCTGGGTCTCGGAAGAACTGATAGCACTGAAGATGAACAAGACCTCAGCTAAACAAATAGACTTTAAAAAGAAATTACAAATCACATCATATCAGCATTCCAAGATCGACTTGAACCAAGCAAGCAAGTGGACCGTTGAGGATGACAAATTCATGGCAAGGAAAATTACCTGGTAGAATTTGGAAACATGCTGAATCGTTTCGATGACTCATACTGATGATAGCGCTACTGATTGTGATATTAGAATGATCAAATTGGGAAGTGGATCCAGTTGCTCTAAGAGAATATCAATGGTGGAACACAAGAGGAGAAGTGACAACCAAACAAGAGTGACAACTACTAGGTCTTTACAACACTGAAAAGGTTCGTGTAGAGAAGATGGATGTCATGTGGCCATATGTATCCGATTTGCGAACAACACGAAGAAGCTGGATGTGTTAGCAGTGTGTATGGTGTATATTGCTGCTGCTACAGCTTTGAATGTTCTTTGAATGGGATATTTTGGGTATGACAGGAAGCAATGCTGATAGTCTCTGTATTGGTAAGCCTTTCGAATGAAACTACTGGGAGCTAAGCAGTATTTATTGGTTGAATTCTCTAGTGAGAATTCTCTAGTGAAATGTCTCTTGTCTATTGGTCGGTGATCGATTTTGCGGTTGAAATACGAAATGAGGACGAAAAACTCGAGAAATATCTTGTGCTGCACAAAAAGAAGCACTACTGATCATACTCTGTTGTTACGGTCATGAAAGGGTTCTGATTTGTATGTACTGCAACAGACTGAGAATGGAGAAGAAGAAGGATAGAGACAATTGGAATAGATCATTGAAACTATGGATCTCGTTTAATTTGGTTGAGTACCACCGCTATGTGGTTCTCGTATCC